ATAGATTTTTTTTGGTTGTTTAAAATAAAAAAAAAAATAAAATAAAAATTTTCTTATAGATGATAAAATAAGAGAAAAAAGTGTTTTTTTTTAAAAAAAAAATGTTTGTGATAGTTTTGAGTTGGCGTTTTTTTTTGTTGGGTGGGGGGATTAGAGGGAAGAGGGGGGGGGGGGGGGGGGGGGGGGGCTGTTTCTCGAAAGTCCCAGAAAGCTGTTTATGTTTGCCGTGTTTGCTTAAAATTTCAATAATCTTGAAACTATCAGTTATCATAGCAAAATTGAGTGGTTTGTGAGCGAGGAACTGTGGAACTATTCAAAAGGTTTTCATTTAAAGGTTTGCTTTAGGGACCGAAAAGTTACGGTGTCTTGCGAGAAACGGGCCCTAATTACGAGTTCGCCCTGACCGCGAAATAAAAGCAGTGAAGACTTTTTTTAAGGGTTGCCTCGATTTGTTAAAGTTTATTCTCACATTCCAGGGAGAAGAAGACCTGTGTACAACTCTACCTTTTATTTATTTTTAAATTTTCGACACCTTTTTGCCGGCTTACTTTTGGTCAAGGCTAACCCTGTATCATTGCGCCTTCAGTGTTTGTATTTAACGCAATCAGCGGTAGTTTTTTTATACAAAAAATACGAAAAAAGGACTATCATCCATTTTGAGTTTGCTCTTGAGAGTGACTCGGTGTTGTATCGTGTTGCACTATCAGATCGTTCGAATTTTGACCTATTTTCCCGCCAATGAAACAAATCATCCCCATATAACAGTCCCATAATGCAATTTGACACAACACGATTGATGCCAATCGTACATCTTCCAAATTCTGTCAACGCTAGCTGGTGATATAGACTTAGCAAAGCGATTTTGGCCAATCAGAGACGAAGGAATATTTTAATGAATACTGAATAATCATTCACAGTTCCCCTTGTTTGGCCACAGAAAAGGGTAACTGGACAAAGACCGGTTTTTAGAAAAGAGGGCAAACAAGAATACCCTGTCCAATACCACACGTTCCCGTACAGTCCGAATAAAAGAGTGCCCCCAGTTGGGGGGGGGGGGGGGTTACTCCCTTAACATGCCATCTTTCAAAACCGATACAGTCCGGAAAATGTACTTCTTTGGGTGCTTTTATCGGGGGGGCGGGGCGGGGGAGTTAGTGGGGCTGAAAATGACAGTTGATCTGAGTTGTTACACTATCAATAGATTGGATGAAATTAGTAACGTAATATTGAAATGACATTTCTGTGTATATTCAACTGGTTTCTGTCTCTTATTAGACTTTCTCGACAACTTTTTTGATAGATTTAATTTAGAATCACATTTACGGCAAATAACCAACGAATCTTTATATCAACACGAAAATTAGTGGTTTTCTGTTTACGTTCATCAGTTAGAATTAGTTTGGACAGTTTTTATTAACTGAATTGCAGTTCGGGGATCTAAATCCCTCTTTTATAAAGATATAGCACGCGCTCGTGACTCCAGGGTATCATCCGACCAGGAATGAGTCAGCCATTGAATAATGGTGGATTCAGGCATCGACAAAGAAAGGAGATTCCGAAGACCCCGTCTTCTATGATGCAATTTATGCTTGATTTAAATATAAATTTTGTGTTTGGGCTTTGCGTCCACATTAGAAGGAAAGGCTTTCGAAAACACTTTCCACAAGAACAGAGAAAACAAAGTCCAAGAAACAGAAATCTATCGCTTCAGCAGTGTGGAGTGGACGGACCTTCCATCTCTCCGTGAAAGCGCTCTATTACAATTCTGCAGAAATTCTGCTTCTGTCATGACACTACAGTAAACCCTACAGTATCTAGTTTACCTCTATGCAGTTCAGCTCTTGAAGTGGTAATTCTTGCACGTAAAATTGAAGGTTGAAGGGTGATCGAAGAAGTCCGGGCGAAAACACGAGTGCCAAGGAAAATACGTAATTTAATTATCATGGTTTTTAAATTCCACGCGCTGTTAATTTTTGATTCAATAAAGCACAATGCGTTATAAGCATCAAAGCGAGAAAAGAAAAATAACAACAACAAAACACACACAAAAAGAGACAAGGCAACGTTTTCTTCTCCTACACAGATCCTTGAAAAAGGTAGGCTTTCCGGAGCTATTACATTGAGTATTTCAGTAAGTGTCCTTGCTAAGCGGTTTAAATTCCTGCCCAAATAGTTGCACAGTCGGAATATTTCAGTAATCCGATTCATGAATACTAACAAAGTTGTCAGTAGAGGCGTGGCGGCCAGCAACTGGTTTGAACCAGAAACTACCTTTTAGACAAGAACCGTTGCTCCAGTGGGCCATTTCCGAGTTCCAAAAGTTCTCACTTTGAAAACGAGGTTAAGGGAAAAACCTTTCTTGTGAAAATGTGTTTTAATTGCATGAAAATAAAAAAAATGATTTTCTCGTCAATGGCTTCGGACTTAGCCTCGCTTTAAAACAGAGGCTTTCAAAAAGTTGATAACGCTATCCACTGCACTTATCCACTGCACAAATCGCTCTTCAATCATGAGCCAATTGCGTTTTTCACTGGATTGAGATTTATCCGTTGGCTTGGATAGCGCTGTCCACCTTCTGAACAACTGAGGCCAGAAAGACGTTTCTCGAAAGTCCCGATAATTAACGGAAACGGAAGCTGTTGTTGTTTTTATGTCAGATCGGTCGAGATTTTAATAGATTCGTAGATTTTATTTTTAAACTCTCAGTGCAAAACAAAATGCACTGGTCCCGCTTGTTTTCCCTAGATTTTGATTTAAGTATTCGATTTCTGGCCCGAAAAGTTACCAGGATTATCGAGAAACAGAAGTCTAAATGGCTAATGGCGACAAACTTCTGTAGGTAACCCTTCGTAGAACGTTTATCCCATTCGGAGAGGGATATTGTGGCGATTCAAGCCGGAGAACCGCCGGACGTGTGGGCCGTATGGCTCGTGTGCGGCGATTCAAAGACAAGCTATGTCCATACATCGCAGCTAGGAGAGGTCTCTCCCGGAAAGAGAAGAAGGATAAGAAAGAGACAGACCTATGGCGGCCTCCGACGCGTTCTTTCATGTAGCCTACGACCACATTCGTGGCCGAACATTACCAGTTTTCAAAACCGGTTTCGTTTAATGTGGAATGTAAGTGCCCTGTTGAGACTGCTCGCTGGAAATTTCTGAGCCCCCAGTTATCGCCCAAACCGGTTTTTTAAGTTGTGTCGCACGTTACTAAAACGTAACTGGTTGCTAAGGAAACGCCAGTGCATACGTGATAGAAAACACACCGGAGGCCAACAGAGATCTGTCTCTTACCTATCACTTTTTTGTTGCCGTGAGAGACCTCTGCTAGCAGGGAATGTCCATACAAAATGCTGTTTTGAAAATCCCCATTTTCAAGGTAAGAAACCAAGAGCTAGCGATCGCAACGTCATATTGAGAATCCTTTTGCCAATTTACCTTAGCTTGGATCCATGCTCCCTGGTGGGGATAAAAGAAAAATCGAGTTGAGCGAGGGCTACTTATGGACTTCCCCTCTTCAATCCATTCTCTCTCCGTCTCCTCGCGATTTTCAGTCCCCTTTCACCAAACGTACAGGCTGTTTACCTAATCAACGCTGTCATTATTTCCAAAGTTTTGCACAATCGTCTAGGCCATGGATTAAGAAATCAAACGTTGCACTTAAGATTACCACGACAGCGTAAACTGAAGTTATTACTGGGTAAGTTTGGGACTTGTGTTCTCGCGCTGCCAAAAATCGCTTAACTGACCACAAATTCAGCTTGGAATCTCATACAGTGCATGAAACAACTATGGAAACACATGGTTTTTTATCTTGAGAAGATTTAATCAATACTTAAAACACTGGTAGAAACACGTAGGACCCGTTTTCAGGGCCAACTCACACTTAGTACGAAGACACAAAACAAATACACAAAAAAGCGGTAAAACTAAGTTACGATGACGCTACTAATGATTTCTAGTTCATTATCGTTGTTAAATGTTCACATTGAGTCGCTTCCTCCGTTTAGAAGTCCGGGTGGAAGAAATGTTGTCATGGAAGGGCTAACAAGACCGTCACCCGAACCCGACTGGGGCTCCACATCCCGCGGGATTCCCGCTGGAAACGACCACATGCTGGGAGGTTGGGAAAAATTTCCCCCAAGGATTTGCTGCGAGGGACCGGAACTCCACAAAAAAGAAGGCACTGGAGCGGTTCCTTGGTTATTTCCCCAAGAGATAGTAGGATGTGTGTTGCTAGCCTTGGGACCAGGTTGCTCGCTTCCTTGTGGTACGCTACCCCACTGACCGATGGGCGCAGTGACTTTCGATTGTTCACCACCAAGTACGGCCTGCGGAGGCATGGGTCCAACTGCTGCACCCCACTGCATGCCAGGGGCAGGGTTAGTGATTTTAGGGGCTGTTTGTTCACTTGACACGTTCTGAATGCCTTCACTGGCTGTTCCAGGACCAAGCATGTTCTGAAAAGACCACTGGTTACCGTATGTGTTGCTCGGGAACGGGTTGGAGCTCCAATCCATGGTCTGTTCAAAGAAGCTGCCGATATCACCATCAGTAGCAAAGTCAGCCACCACCTGATTGCCGTTCAGCATCAAACCATTAAGTGCTGCCCTTGCCTTGGCTGCCTCGTCCATACTGCCATAGCGAATCAGGCTGTTACCATGGCGCAGGTTAAGCTGGAATGTCAGCAGGGGACCATGTCTCTCGCACAGGGGGCGCAAAGATTTAGGATCCATCTAAAACAAACAAAAAGCTCAATTAGTTTAGAAAATAGCACCACGACTCAAAATCCCTCTTGATGCTAATCTGATTTGCTTCAAGTCATCTACGTTTTCCAGGGTTCCTCGTCGATTTCTTAAAGCAGTAGACACTCGAGTTGAGCAACGTTTCCGTATTTTTTAGTTATCAATTCCCCCATTGTTTCGTTACAACAGCGATGTCCAATCGTATGGTGTAATTTTTCTCTTCATCAACAAGCAATGTCAATTTTAAGACACTTAAAAGAAAAGAATAGACAACCTTGAATCAAAGTGTATGTTTTGCCTTGCTGTAACTTAGTCCAGAGCATATTTTACATCTACATTGAATTTGCGCTCGGTTACTAATGATGGTATCAACCGTTAAAATAGCATCGCTTGTCTACAAAGGATATCGTACGTTGGCCATTCCTACGTTGGCCATTTTCACACCAGACACGGGTTTCCGAGAGATAATTCGCGCCAGACAGATAATACGACTTAATTTGAAAATGGAACGGTTTTAATTTTTGATGAACAATCCGCCTGACTTCATCCATCTGATCATCCGTCAATTTTGACGGATTTTGAAGATGGATTATACGTCTCAACGGCCATTCTAAACAGACACATGTGCAAAGTTTCAAGATCTTGCACTTGCTATGAGTGTTACACATCTTTTAAAAGGGCCCCAGACAGTGAGCGTAGAATCCAAGATTGCGATTTACAACTTACCCTTGGTGAGAGGTTTCGAAGCACCAACCACGTGGACATGGAATTAGCTGTGCTTCTGGAAGGAGCTACACCACTCGCTGCGGAAACCGGAGGTAGTTGTGTCAAGGGCCGGCTGCCTGAAAGCTTTTCCTCCGCACTCGGAATAGGTTGATTGGTGGACCAAATCATGCCAGAGTTCTGCAGGTTTGGTGGCTCTGCAGGAGAGTCTGTGCTTCCACTTCTGACATTGTCAATGTTTGGCATGGACATGGCTGACCCTGCAGATGACGGGGGGGCTGGCCCTCCAACAGCAGCCCAAGGCTGTGGGTTAGGTGTCAGTGGACTAAACGGTTGTGAAACTGCATCTCGAGGACTCCACGGCGCAGAGTTATTGGCAAAGCCAAAACGACTAAACTGAAATTCCGGCTGGGCTTTGTCGCCAAAGCCAGAGTCTATTAAAGTTTTCAGCCAAGGAGGTGGCTCTTCATCAAAGAGAGGTGACTCAGGAAGGGCAGCGTCATTTCCCAGCCCAGGAGGTGGTCGTAACAANTTTTTCGACTACCAAGGAGGGGGCTCCTAAAAAATTGAACCGCTAGCGAGGGGGGCTGCTAAAATTTCAAGCTTCGAGTTTCAATATCTTCATCCCCCCCCCCTTGTCATATTAAATGAACTTTCCCTTAAAAGAAAAGAATAGACAACCTTGAATCAAAGTGTATGTTTTGCCTTCCTGTAACTTAGTCCAGAGCATATTTTACATCTACATTGAATTTGCGCTCGGTTACTAATGATGGTATCAACCGTCAAATAGCATCGCTCGTCTACAAAAGATATATAATTCCTACGAGGGCCATTTTCACACTAGAGACGGGTTTTCGACGGATAATTCGCGCCAGACAGATATGACTTAATTTGAAAATGGAACCGTTTTAATTTTTGATGAACAATCCGCCTGACTTTATCCATCTGTTCATCCGTCAATTTTGATGGATTTTGAAGATGGATTACACGTCTCAACGGCCATTCTAAAATATGTGCAAAGTTTCAAGATCTTGCACTTGCTATGAGTGTTACACATCTTTTAAAAGGGCCCATGAAAGTGAGCGTAGAATCTAAGATTGCGATTTACAACTTACCCTTGGTGAGAGGTTTCGAAGCACCAACCACGTGGACATGGAATTAGCTGTGCTTCTAGAAGGAGCTACACCACTCGCTGCGGAAACAGGAGGTAATTGTGTCAAGGGCCGGCTGCCTGAAAGCTTTTCCTCCGCACTTGGAATGGGTTGATTGGTGGACCAAATCATGCCAGAGTTCTGCAGGTTTGGTGGCTCTGCAGGAGAGTCTGTGCTTCCACTTCTGACATTGTCAATGTTTGGCATGGAAATGGCTGATCCTGCAGATGACGGAGGGGCTGGCCCTCCAACAGCAGCCCAAGGTTGTGGGTTAGGTGTCAGCGGACTAAACGGTTGTGAAACTGCATCTCGAGGACTCCACGGCGCAGAGTTATTGGCAAAGCCAAAACGACTAAACTGAAATTCCGGCTGGGCTTTGTCGCCAAAGCCAGAGTCTATTAAAGTCTTTAGCCAAGGAGGGGGTTCTTCATCAAAGAGAGGTGACTCAGGAAGGGCAGCGTCATTTCCCAGCCCAGGGGGTGGTCGTAACAAGGATGCCACACTCGACCCTTGTTTATTTGCCCCTTGAGGGGGTGGCAGTGGGGTTTTGTTGTCTGCCGCCTGCCAGGATGTTGAATTGAGACCGAAGTCAACTTGGCTAGACTCAAATGTGTTGCTGTTGATTGACATAGACGGAAAGGTGGAATTAGCTGTAGTGTTCACTTCATTAGCAGTCTTTACACTACTTGTAGGAGAAACACTGCTTGGAGCACTGATAGTTTGAGTTCCTGGAGTCGGCCAGCTATCTGATTGAGAATCACTACTAGTGGAAGACGAGCGACCCGAGGCCTCCACAGTGGCGACAGGAAGGCCTTCTCTTCCATCCTCCCTTTTGTCGTTTTTAGGCGCAGGGCGCCATGGCACACCAGGTTTGAACTCCGGCGGATCTGCTGACAGCTTAGGGCCTGCATCAACACCCCACCTACTGGAAACTGGATCGGAAATTCTTGTGCGTGGCGATACATTGTTGCTGTTGGGTGCTGAATGATCAGCTGTGTCACTAGTTGAAATTGTGGGTGCGGAAACAACACTGGATAGTACGGAAGGAGACAGTGTAGAGCTGGAGTCTGTTGGAGGTTTCGAGTCCACTGATGTCGGTGTACTGCTGGAGACTGATGGTTGAGTGACTGGAGCAGAATCCTGCAGTACTGGCTGCTTCCATTGGGTAAGTCGAGATTGTGTGACGGGAGAAGGCTGTTTTGGCTGTTCCTCCGCTGTTACAGGGGTGACATTAAGAGATTCCTTTGATTGAGATTTAACAGTTTCAGTAGTTTTAGTCTGTGAAGACTCGCTAGGTGGCTTGTCATTTGTTACAGGTTTGTTACCTTTCTGCTGATTAGTTGGGGAAGGCTGTTGCTGTTGTTGAGTTATAGACTGCTGCTGAGGCACTGCCGAAAACTGTAGTGCAGGGAGCCGGCCAGCCAAACCAGGCTGTTGCTGTAAGACTTGCTGCATCTGAGCAATCATGAGCGCAATCTGCTGCTGTTGTTGATAGAGCTGCTGTTGAGGCACCACCTGCTGTTTTTGTCCCAAGTGTTGCTGAGCAACAGATTGTGCAGCTAGTCTCTGCTGCACAAGCTGAAGCTGAGCAATTTGTTGCAGCATAGCAAACTGTTGTGGAGTGACCGGAGGTTGAAGCAGCCCTCCCTGGGCCATCCGTAACTGCTGCTGCAGATGAAGCTGTTGAACAAGCTGAGGGTGAAGTAGTGGATGGGCCAGAGGAGGCCTTAAAGGTCCCTGTACTCCTGGGCCAGGCGCAGGAGGTATTAATGGTGGGCCTGCTCTTTTCCCGTTACCTGGCAACTGTGCTTGTCCATTAACTGGCTTTGATGCCCCTGTTCCAGACTGAGCAGGTTTATCACTTTTTGTTGTTGGGGCAGCGAGTTTACTGTTTGAATCACCCTGTGTGTCTTCAGTTCTCGATACCACAGTGTCCTGCGCTTTACTCTGTGGCTCAGTACTAGGTTTAACAAGTGTTTCATTTGTTTGAGTCACTGAATTAGAAGCTAAGAGTTCAGATGGCGTCTGTTTTAGATCAGGTTTATTAGCTGCAAGACTTTGTTGCTCAGCTTGCTGCTGTTGTTGAAGCTTTCTACGTTGTTTCCGGTTAAGTTTGCTCTGACTCTGCTGCTGTTGCTGTTGGATTCTTGCTGCTTCCGCTGGATCAGGTTCCGCAGGGACTCCAGATAACTGTTCTGTGTTTTCATTGATGTTCATAGCCAGCAAGTACCCTACAAACACATCAACAGATAATCAGCTACTTGGTCTTTGATTACACGTGATGAAGTCTAACTTTAAGTCTAAGAAGACCTAGCCTGCATGACAGGTGCTTTGAACCAAGTGAGGCAAACTGGGCACTTGTCTCGTGCTTTGCGCAAAAAGCCACATTTCCGTCACTTGGCTTATAGAGTGCCTCTCATGATAGCTAAAGAAGAACTAAAGGCTTCCAAAGCCTTTTGAAGAAAGTGTAAACAAGAACACAATTTATCCTTCCTTAAATCTAGCAAGTTATTACGGTACAACTGGACTGCAACAGGGTACTCGCCCAATACACTAAAACTCACCAAAAGGAAAAAAGAAATGACACCTCTTCAACATTTACAGTGGTAATGTCTCACACATGAAAAAACACATGACTTCACTTACCTATTGCGCTTTCAATATTCATATGATTAGCCTTGAGGGCCTTTTCTGCATCCACTTGCTGAACATGACAGTATTAAAACATAACAATTAGCCATACAGATCAGACTACCATACGTTTCAAAGGATGGTGCAGTGGTAGCAGTGTAACAAGCTAACTCATTCTTACAGAAAGCGAACTAATCTAATAGCCCTATCCCCTCGCTTTAATGTGCATTTGCCAGACAAAAACAGAGTATGTATGCTACAGTTAGTTCTATTGGCTTGACCTGAGTGCCATCAATTATTTATAGTGCTACTTTAATTTCATGTTTAGCCCCTTTCTTTGACTGTGTACAAGACACCTTTGTAAAACAGACATTTCATGCTAGTTTTAACAGTGTTTGGTGATAGTAAAGTGAGGAGTGGGGGATGCATAGCTCTGAAAGTATACAGGTTAACCGTATCTATGGTATTGCTAATACAAGACAACTAACAGTACACTTCTTTATTCTAAGCAGCCATAGCTAGTTCTGGACCACTTACAAAAGTCACAGCAGGAACTCAGTGAACATTGTCTTACCTTGAAGCCCATGTCTAGTAGTTGTTTAAGAGACCTGTTCATCCATGCATTTGAATCATTAGCAGGTTTAGGAGCCTAAAAGCAACAAGTGATTACTGAAACTGGCAAAATATCTGCTCTCCACGACTATGTCATCTAGACTGCATAATAGCCGTATTCTTTCAATGGTCGAGAACATGTTAGAAAGAAGGTTTATAGAGTGTGAAAATGGTGAGCAACTAAAATGACCTGTGATGCTTGTGCATTTTGAGGGAGAATGTCATGCCAACACCTTGTGCCTCACATCTAGCAAAGAGAGCTAATACGAAAATTTGTCAAGAGAACACCGATGGGGGCACTGCGTTCCCTCAATAAACACAAGGTTTTTGCACCATCAATACCACTGAGCATTTGTGCAGTGGTCTGTAGAGTGGTTCATTAAGCATCTAACCCCCCCCCCCCTCCCATCCCTTATTTTTCTTCCTTCCACTGTTTCATCAGTGTGACGGGTGCCTGGAATGAGGGCTAATCGCTGGGTTGCAGGGATTTGCGAGCCATGGGGGCAGTATTCTATCTAGTGGCTGGCTAGCCACAATGGAAGCCCCTGGATATCCCAGGCACCCACCTTCCACTTAAGCGAGGCAGTTGGTTTATGTATAGTAACAGAACACCCCACTGTCATTGATGCTGATAATGACTTGTAAACAATAATTGTCGGACCTTATTATGACTTACATCAACTCAGAGCCCATAGCTGTAAGTCGTAATGTCTGTTAATCAAGCCATGATTGAGCTCCAATTTGTGGGTGCAAAGGCGTCACTAGCGAGCTCAAGCAGAGACGTGTTTGAGTGATACTATTTCATGTCAACTGGAAATGGCCTTCTTGCATTCTTGAACAATGATTATACCCACATTTTCAGGCAATTTGGTAGTGTCAAGGCATATTAAAAGGCAAACGGCCTAACCAGAGTGCAAAGAAAGTGGTGTTCGATAGCCTAGGGCTAGTGGATTTTGCTCTTGGGCTAGTGAATCCTGCACGATGGGGAAGTGAAGTTTTTTGGAAAATTCAACTTATAGAAGAATTGTAATCATTGCCATCAATTATTTTTTGAAGGGAGGAGGGGGTTAGTTGAAATGACTTTTGGGCTAGTACATGCCAGCTACAGCTGGCCCAAATGGCAAGCTATAAAACTGACTTTCTTGGCACCCTGCCTAACTTCTGGTTGACCTTTGTGGCTCAAAAAGTTCTTTGCTTGAGCTCCCTACTGATTGGTCATACAACCCAAGTAGACTCAACTAGTGGTCAGTATTGTGTGCTTTTCAAGTTACTTCCGACCCTATTTATCTTCTGTAGTCACATGTAAGAACAAAATAAAGCAAAAGATAGTCTTGAGTTCTCACCCTATTTCTTTTAGAAGAAGCAGTTGTCCACCCATCTAATGAACCCTCAGATCCTTCTTCATGTTCCATACTTTCTTGTCCCCATTCTAATTCAGTAAACGAAACTCCTGTGGTTTCTAACCACTGTGAAACTTTGCTGTTACTAGAAGACGAATCAGATTTTTGCGCCATACTGTCCCAACAAGATGTACCAGTAATATCCACACCGGAAGCTCCCCAGCTAGATGTACTGGTTGTGGGTACATCACCCCAACCAGTTGCAGTCATTTTAGCACCAGACGTTGACAAGATGTCTTTTTCCATTTTGCTGTCCATATCAGATTTAGAAACAGAATTAGAATCCAGTTTTGGTGGTTTAGTATCCTTAGCATTTGCAACTCCTTCC